GCCAATAGGTCCGTGCTTCTGTGTCCTGTGTCAGATCCCAGGTGTCTGGCACATAGGTAGTAGGTGATTCTAACAATGGGAATGGTTCCAAGGAAAAACCCATCATTCGATCCAACTCACAATAACTAGTGTCTACACTGGCACGTTTGAGAACAGATGCACGGCAACCCAATCTGGTCTCGGGAGTCAAATCGGCGGAACCAATAACCCGTTGCATACTGCTCATAGACAAATGAGGATCACCGGGAGACAAATATCCACCACCAGTATAGTCATCCTCTGTTTGTATTGTGGCGACTGGAGGAGAAAGACCACGATCCAATTCGGTCAGCTCGTTTGCGGAATCGCCACGCAATTCCTGACTGGAAGCCATGCTATTCTGTCGGCTACGTAACACGTATTCCTCGGCAGTAGCCAGTGCATTCCGTGTGCTAGACACGTAGTTCTCCGCCCACACCGTTTTTGGTTCATTTGTGCTGGACCAATCATCCAACGCCTTCACAAAAGCACCCATCGCACCCAGATAGCCTTCATGCCTCAAGAAAAGGGCTCGATAGGCTCCGGCAGACCAGAAATTGACCGCATACGTGATAACCTGAGAAAGAAATTGCACATTTAAAGGTGATAAATGTTCTGAGACGCATGGCAGAAAACGACTATTTCGAATATAAAATGCCTAGTAGATAAAAGTAACAATCTGGATTCAGGACTGACCGCATTCTGGTACAGAATACGATGCGGTAACTCGTTCATCCCGAAGGATCAATGGTTCACATTCAGGCACTCAAGCTAAACAAGTGTGAGATGCAAACGAATTCGATCTCGTGTCACTGATTCAAACCCATAAAAAATCTGACGGTCGAAATGATATTGCTACCATCTTTGGTCTTTTCGGTTATCAGCTGAAACACAGGGGATCCTATGGGATTCAGATCAGAGTTTCCATTGATAACACCATGTCAAGCGTGAATTTAGTCCATTTTGGAGTACAGAAATAATAATCATGGGGAGGCATCTTTTGAATAATAATACTAAAGATATTCCCCATCAAGAATGTCTGGTGCCTCTAAACAATCGAATGGGCTAATCCAAGCTTGATACTCTAAAAACTGATTGAGCCATTCGCACAAGGTGAGGACCGTCGACCGTGTAGCTCAGGGGTAAGGGTTTGAACTCCCGACCCGAATGTTCGTCGTTCGAGTCTTGACAGGGACAAAAAAGTACACACTGTTGACGAGTCCCGAACAGGACGAAACAGATGTCCAGTGCTCTTTGTCGGCCAGCACAAACAGTTCCATCGCATGTAAATGTATTCAACTTGTGGGGAATTAACGATCTTCCAAGTAGTGAAACCCAAATCCAAGACCATCAACATGAACAATTGAACGGGCTAATCGAAGTTTGCTACTAAAAAAACTAATGATAATTATTTTATTTTTGTAGCCCTCTCGCTTTTCTCAGGCGGATAGACAGTGTAACAATCAACATTCCGGAGTTTGTGCTGCAGCCAATCAAACAGGAATATAATTTCAAGGGAACTTAGGCAACGATAGTTGGAGTCCAGGACGCACCAACCTCTAAGCGAACATGATAATGTCCTTTACCGATAGACTACCGTCGGTGCTTGGGAAATCGTTAGAAATGCAACCTCAGGCAAAAACACGCCGCATTACCGTAAGACAACTTCCACGGGAAGCGTAAACGCACATTGGCGGAGATTTTAAGACAACGGAATAAGAAGAGTTACCGGAGCCGTCGACAGACTCTGGATCGGTCACGACCCGTGTACACAGTTTCGGAGTGAAGAGTGCAATTGATCATAATCCATGAAGGTTCATGAAGTTGATCATGAGTGATTTTCAATCTTTTGGAAAACCAGATTGCGGAATCTTCGCGAAAAAGGTTTTCCTTTGGGCCGGCGGAAAGTATCAGGGTGAACCTAACTTTCCCCGGTGAATTCCCGCGATATCCAGTTAAAATGGATTAGGATCAACCACCACCGACAAAAAGCATGTGCTTTCTCAATGCGACTGGCACCGTGAGATTCCGGGTGACGGACAAAACATCGCAATCTGATTTTTCTATTGTATCGATCGATTTCCAATGCGGAAAAATCTAGACTGTGCGCAACCCTATCAATGTAGCGCGATTACTCATTAGTCAACGCAATTTTCTCTCACCTTGCCAATAAACGCTGGAACTGATTGTAAATATCCTTTGATTTGACTAACTGAGGGGCGTCTTGTTAGACAGGATTCAGTGATAGATTGTTAGATACAAAAGAAAGGTATCCTTCACACACACAGCACACGATCTAAATCTACGAATGTGTAGTAAAAAGACATATCTACTACAACGGTTGAGTTGAGACATAGTAAGGTAACTGATAAATCCGGTGACAAAGCGGGTTGCGAAACAGAGAATGTACGCAGCGGAGAAGGAAGAAGGGAATCGAGGACGAAGATAGACTGTGACGGTGTATGTAAATATACAGAACCGACCGAACATAATCTCCGATTACCATTATCACGACAGGCGATCGGAATGTTCCGCTCCGAAGGCTGATGTGCAACAATCGCTGACGTTGTATCCCAGGTATCCGTTTTCGGTGGCTTTTTACGGTTGTTTGCCAATCGTAGGGAGCATTTGGCTCGTAGCAAAACGTGGTCCGCATTCACAGGTGTTGATCAGTACGGGCGGCAGTCTTGAATCGATCCCTTACAGCGGTAACTGATAGGGATGTGATCGATTTGGGTCCAGCGCTGTGAAGAGGTTGGCGGTTTCTATGTAACGCGGTGTCGTTTCTTGTGCGAGAAGATCCCACCTAAGCATTGAAGTTTCCGGTAATTACCACGATGTCCGTTGATCGAACGCTTTGGAGTGATCGAGAAAGGTCCTTGTAGAATTCATCCTTCATTTCAGATGTACTGCAATCGGTCCGTGCACTGACACGACGAATAGACATCGACGCTTCGTTCTGTAGCTGTTAACCCGCGCTGAACCTTTGAGACGTACGGCGCACAGTCAGCTACTGACTGGAATTCATTCGAGAAGCAAGGGCTCAGCGTAATCCCGACACCAGCAACACCGCGAGCTTCGGATGCCGAATCGCCTGACACACCAAGGGTGAAGAGTGAGGTTGAGGTGGGATCAGCAGAACGCAGGGAGATAATAAAAGTAGGGTCTTCTATGCGTGTTTCGGAGACACAGCATACATCTAAATGGAAGGTTTCAAGGGTTCTAGCTAAGGCAGCTTGTGTGGGAGCTTCTAGAGACCTGTCATGCAAGGCCTTTGGTTTTAGGTTCTGTGTTGGTCGCTGGTGCGTTATCGGTCCGCTTTTCGGGAAAGGCCTTTAGCCTCATGAACCCAGTGAGACAAGTGGAACGTGGACGGGACAGCACCGTATTGGATGGGGGCTGCCAGCTTGGGGGGGGTGGTAGCTGGAAGTGCGAAGACTTTTCCCACCGTCGAGAGAAAGCCCCAGGTACCCCGCTCCTAAGTCCATCTAACGGCTTTTTTACCGGTAAACCACCCCTCCCCGTGTTTATTTACTGGCGTGACCTCTCCAGGGGTGTGTGGATAGAAAATGGAAGCCAGGAGGTTCCCAAGTATCTGGCCTTGTGAGACTGACCTCCGTCTGGTCTCTGCCCGTTGACCTTCTGGGCATGATTGGATCTGCGGATGTGAGGATCCATCCTGTATAGCTCGCAGGTTCATCGAAGTGTACGAGCCATCACACCATGCCTAGGTGCAGTCTCGTCCTCACGAGCGATCTAACGCAAGCTGTTTCTAAGGTTGAATTGTTTAACACCCAGAGATGGTCACCCTTTGATACCATTTCTGAGGGAGCGGGTGAACAGATCCGGTTAAACGAACCCAGATTGGGTATCAACACCGGATACCAGACAGCAAACCAATAATCACGGAATTGCATGTTCAAGCCAAGTGACAACCGCGTGCGGCCTGACACCATGCGTGGGGTAATTGTGGTCACGCGCGATCTAAACGGGACAACCCGAATAAGCTGAACTCGGTTTGTGCTCAGGGTGAGATAAATCGTTTTTTTTTGACCAAGTGACCTGATGATTATCGTTCGATTTGGTATGTAAACGGAATGATGGAATGGTCACAGATGAAATAACCATTCATGTGTAATCACAGATTTCAAAAAACGGATTCTACACAGTTGACCCCGATAATTCAGTCAACTAATAGACCTCGGACAGATAGATCACGCTTTATCCGTGGCAGTCAGAGTGTAGTGGATCACCCTGTCTGCACAGATCATTTCATTCAGTTCAGTTCAGTTTCAACAATCATAAACTATGCAATATGGTGAGCCGGTTTTGATTGCTATCTTTCGGTTCCAATTTGCTTTACCATTAGGGGGAAACCAGGAAAGGTTGAAAGTAAGATCGAAGAGAAAGTTGAAACGTTCAGCGGTCTAAGGTTGCAAAGAAATTAAAGAGATGCACGAACGCCACTGTCTACGACACCCAGC